TTTAACTCTATACCAGATTTATCATTTGGTATTTTATTACTTTGTTCTTATTCATTCATAAGCAGAAGCAACAGCTTAATACCAGATTTATCATTTGGTATTTTATTACTTTGTTCTTATTCATTCATAAGCAGAAGCAACAGCTTAATCAAGTTAATTCAGAATATGAACTGCTGCTTAAACTACAGAGAAACAATATGCGTCCATTAATGTTCGCTGAAGAAATATTACATACAGCTGTCTGTTATGTCCTACCTCGTCTGGTATTCTTGAAATGAATGGAGGACATATATATATTTTCCGTGGCTGGCGTTGATTCTAATGTACCCTTAAGATAAAATTTACCCTGTTTGATTTGTTTGTTTGTTTATTTGTTGTTAAGCACAAAGGTACACAATGGACTATCTGTGCTCTGTTCACCACGAGCTGGAATATTATTAAATGTCGATCTATTTTTACTTTAGAATTTTGAACATTTTGAATGTATTATTTGATATCTAATAATCGTACTGGCCAGCATCATATTTTCAGTTTGTTTATAAACTATTTAAGGAAGCACCTGTAGACAAATACCGGTGAAATGAGAACCTGAGTATAAAATTGATCGTGTACTGATATATATGTATTTGTGATTCTTTGCCCAATATATTTAAGTTTATATACATGTATATAATACCCATTGTATGTTAAAAATTCATTTTTATTAAAACGCAAGTTATTCATCTAACAAAAGGATGTTGAGATGATGTTCAGAGCTGGCACAAGATAAATTCGGGTATAAACGTACAGGTTTCAAACAAAACAAGCTACAGGTATTCCAGTTAGCACAGGTGTTAGAACATATGTAGCAAATATTTACGATAAAAAACAAAACGAACATAAGTTTCGCTGCAATGTCACCTTCAAACATAGTAATCCCTCGATGGTTAAGCAATAAGTCTGAACGCTTGTAACGCTAAAAATCTGGTTTCGAATTCCGTGGCGAACAGTCTTGGCCAAAATGTTTGCATGTTTTATAACAAATAAGATCATTATTATTAAGATGGAATACAAATATACTTAGTGCTGTCAAATGCGTGTTATATTAAACACCTACGTATGTAATTTGTATAGTGAGACAGTTTCTATGGACATCGTGAACGATTGATCAGAACAGCAAACAATTTTATCAGAAAGATGTGTAATTCAGTATTTCACCTATCACAACAATACCTTACCAAACATCTAAGCCCCCAGTGACACAGCGGAATGTCTGCGGACTTACAACGTTAGAAACCGGGTTTCGATACCCGTGGTGGGCAGAGCACAGATAACTCATTGTGTAGCTTTGTGCTTAACTACAAAGAAACCAAACATATAAAATGACAAAATATAATAAGGTATTATAAATAGCGTCTGCAATTTTATATCAGTTGATATTAAACATTCAGTACTTGGTTGGTCTTCCTTATACTCTAATAACCTCCGCAAGGTGATGTGGCATGCTGTCGATGAGGTTATTAATGTAATCCACCGTGCCTTCATCCCAACTTGTCACTAGAAGGCGCTGCATATCAACCACAGTAACTGGTTTAGGGGTCATGGTTAGCAAATTTTATGCTTAGTTCTGCCCAACAGTTCTCATTGGGATTACAATCTGGAGACTTTACTGGCTATGGTAGTCTTGTAGTGTCCTCCTGGTTGAGATAATTCTGTGCAACATGCGCACTGTAGGCAGTGGCATTGTCGTCCTGGAACACAATGTTATTGGCAAACCTTGTCCTAGCATATGGCAGAAATATCGTCTCCATGTGACGCCTGTAGTAGGACCATTGACGTCTCCCTGGTGGATATGAAGAACAGTTTTTCCACCATGATGAATAGCTGCCCAAATATATGCTGCACCACCTCCTGTGTGTTCCCTATAGGAAAGACAGTCTTCCTTTATCTGTTCTCCAGGCAAACGATGAACATGAATCCTATCATCAGCTTTAACAAGTCAGAAACAGGACTTATATGAAAGTATGACATGTCGCCAGTGTCCTAACTGTAAGTTGGCATATTGTATTGCCCAAGTAACACGGTCACGGCTGTGAATTCTGATTAATATTCGTTTGCAGATAGCCCTTCTTGGAAAATAACCTTATTTGGTCTGTCTCATATTCACTGTTCTTCTGGATACCCTGGAATGAATGTGTTCATGCCATCCCTGTCGTAAGGTGTTTCAAAAGTTCTTTCTATCTTGACGTATTAACCTGATCAAAACACTGTCATCTCTGGCAGTAGTTTTTCTACGTCCACCAGTAGACTTTCTTGGAACAACGTTTCCTGTAGTTCGATGACGTTTCAGGATTCTGGATACAATACACTGGGGTACCCTACTGTTCTGGCAACATCCATTTGCTTCATACCATTTCTGGACCATCGAACAATTTGACGCCCTATAACTTCTGGCACATGACGATGAATGACTCTACACCAAGTACAAAGAAACTGTCTGAACAAAGCTTTGCACTGTTTCAAAAAAGATTATACCAAAAGTACACCTTTTAAATAAATAAAAAAACGTGTGTATGTGTGTTTTGACGAATAAATGCTCAAAACAACTTATACAGACCAAAATAACAACTCGTACATGTTGTCCGATTATACGCTATCTTCTCTGTTACTACTCAGGCATTTACTCAATAATTGCTCCATGCATGTAGACAATAAGAGCGATAAAGAACATTATGGAAACATTTTGGCCAAGGCTGTAACTCATTGTGATCTCTATGAAAGAAGGAGAGTTAGAGTTACTTCATTTTTTAATGTTATAGAGAAAGTTAATACGTAAGAATCGTATATATTTTGCACGTGCTAAAAGGTTCTCAGTTGTCCAATTTGTGTTTAATAAAGTTTTTACTGTAATCGTCTAATATTGTAAATGAAATATGTGATGTAGTCGCTTTGAATACATTTTTTTTATTAGTCAAAAAGGACAAGAATTACGAATCGTATGTTTGTTGGGTTTCGAGCAAAGCTATAAGAGAGCCTTCTTCGTTAGCCTTCCCTAATTTTGAAGTGATAGACAAAAGAGAAGGCAGCTAGTCAACACTATCAAACGCCGGTTGTCGGGCTTCTTTTTTCAGATCGAAGCCTGGCATGATCTGTGGTTAGGGCGCCCGACTCGCAATATGGGGGGTCGCGGGTTCAAATCTTAATAACCGAACTTGCTCGCCTTTTCAGCCGTGGGAGCGTTATAATATGACGGTCAATCCCGCTATTCGTTGGTCAAAGAGTAACCCAAGAATTGGCGGTAGGTGGTATTTACTAGCTGCCTTCCCTCTAGCATATTACTGCTAAACTAGAGGCAACTAGCGCAGATAGCACTCGAGTAGCTTTGCGCGAAATTCAAGACCAAACAAACTCGTCAGACCGAATAGTAGGATTTTAACGCCATTCTGGTAATGCAATCAAGGCCCCAAAATGCAGAACATAATTTTTGGCAACGAGTTGTGAACCACGGATCTTTGAATTCACAGTCTGACACCCTAACCAGTAGGTCGAGCCCGGCCAAAGTAATCTGTAGCTGTTAAAATATTTAGAATAACAACAACAAATGTTTTTAGCTGTGAGCCGTGATTTTATAACTCAGCCGAAATAATTTATTCACATTGTGTTAAAGCTAACTTGTATGTTGTCTACAGAACCCACTTTTTATTTTTAAGTGAAAGATTATCCAGTTGTTGGGTTAATCAAGGATGCATTTTCCAAATGTATAGGGCTGACTGTGCTAATTGTTTATACCTTCTTCCTTCCAATTCTGTTGAGATCTCAAAAATGTATAGTTCATTATATTATGGTTTAGGTTTTGTTACATTATGCAAACCACCTTATATTTCTTCGTTAATTTGATTAAAATTTTGTTTGAGCGAAATAAAACAGTATTGGGATATATTTTTCATAATAGCCATAAAATCTAGATTTACAGCTCAGTGCCATTATTAATAATATAATCTTTTATTCAAGTTGAACAATCTCTAGATTTAAGATTTCATAATTTGGCTTCGCCATAAAACTTTGATCAAGATGTGCGGTATTTGAATTATTAACAATTAAAATACTTGCGTATACTAAACGTCTTTCGCTGGCTCAACGTCAAGTCTGAGGACTTATCACGCTATAAGTTGGGTTTCAATATTCGTGGTGGGAACAGCATAACTAGCCCAATGTGTAGCTGTGTGCTTATCAACAAACAAATACATATTAAAAGTAGTAGGAAGAAATGTGAATCAAGACGCTGAGTGTAGTTTAATAAAATTACTTGTTACCGAACCGGTAAACTGGTCATCAGGTTTGTTTTGGTATACAAACTCTTTGATTAGGGAACTTATTTTCATCTATTTTTACATTTATTTGAACTTTTATTTAGCAAACAAAAGAAGAAACAAAGAGACGTTAGTTATCCGATTGGAGTTTGTAAAATATCTGCTCCACTTCCAACAGTGGTATGAAAGATTACTTACCAATTCGTTTACGTGTACGTAAAACTGTCTTTTTTGTTTTTCATTTATTTTCTCGTTTTTATTTTACCTTTTTAAGTTTTAAAATGGAAATTTTCATATATTTTTCTATTACCTGCTTGACTTAACGTGTTTCTCATCTCGTTTAGACTATAAGATATAAAGTAGAAACAAAGCGTGTTTCTTGTTTTTATTAGATATATACGCCATAAACCATGCCCTGGCTTATTTCTACAGCTATGATTGACCACACATTTATATAATTGTAAAGAAAACTTGGATTATAAGATTTCACACAAAATATGAGAAAGAAAGCTGTTATAACAACTGAATAAGAAGATATTGATTTTCTACTTACTACCTTGCTTTCTGGTTCTTCACATAAACCGAAGTATAAGAGCTTTCCTTTGGAAACGTAGACAAAATGTTCTGATAAAATATACACATGAAGCATAGGATATTTTATCGTCACAAAACAGGTGCAATACTACCGCGTTTCTCGGTAGGACAGAAGGTTTACAGTCATGAATACAGCTGGCGTGTCCCTCACAGGTTGGAAATGTGCAGCTGTACAGAATCTTGTTATATTGCTCAACGAAAAAAATACTTTAAACGAGCAGGTTATGTATGTATTAGGTTTTATTCCATAATGAATATTATCGTTTTATGCCAAAAATTTAAAGAATTAAACTGGTAGTTTTATAGAAGGATCAGTACATTAAAACGACTTTGAATATGTAAATCAGCAAGTCACGTGGCAATTACAGCCAATATAAAGTCGTAGTTGAACAGATGGTATCAGAACTACATTTTGACATTTGATTAGGTAGTGTGGCTCCAGTGAAAAGTTATTGCGTTTTGGAAGTATTGTTTTTCTGTAATACACTAGTTTAAAGATATAAGGGCCTCCAGGGTAAGAAACGGGTGCCAGATCCAATTGTTGAACCTTATGTCATTCTCCGAGGGTGCTATCAAGGTTTGATGGAAATCAATAGAATAGTACCTAAAACAGGGGCCTACGGGAGTGTCATGGAGATAAGTACGAATGCCGGTCATATGACACTCCCCAGGAGCCTACAAGGGTTGACTTTGTGTTGAAAAACAAAGAAGCTGTTGCAAAAAAAAAAAAAGAGGAATTACAAACAGAATCGGCTTCGCACTTTGGGGCCGTAGATGAACTATAATGGTAATGATCAAATTGTACTATTCAATCAGACAAGAGTAGCCCAAAAGGTGACGGCGAGTGCTGTTGACTTTCTGCCTTCGCTCTAGTCTATTTATTTAAAATTAGGCCTAGGGCAGACAACTCCTGAGTAGCTTAGTGTGAATATTCGGAAAAAAATACTCTTGCAACGCCATCTGGGAATGATGAATTACAGCTGTTTTAGTTTCTACTATAATTTTTCAGTGTGAAGTTTTGATAGTTAAACATAGTTTTAATCCATTTTATCACATACTTCATTTTTCATTATTGCGAATTTATAATTTATTTTTGTATTGTTACGACATCGGAAGTCACGTGACTCTGCTGGCGTGTGCGAGGAGTTTCTCGAATGATCGTGAATTTCCTAGTTTGTTCGGGACGATCTCTTTTTTTAGTATACACTGAGTGGTCACAAGTAAATAGACACCTAATTTTTCG